CCCGAAGCCTGGTAGAGGCTAAGAGAACCCCATCCCCGGTGTCCTGTGCTGTGTGTATTTGTTTTACCTGACAGGTTTCGGGAACAGGTGGAATGCTTTGTTGACTGCTCCTGTTATACCGGAACGTTAACCTGTGTGGTCGCACTGTAAATCTGATACTCGTTACCACGTTTTAACTTGACTTTGCCGACTTGGTTACCTTAAAGGTTTAGCAGAACTATTCTGTCAGACTGCACAGTGTACTAGTAATCAGAATCAATGTCAAGGACATCATATACACGATGGGCATCTCTAGCTATCTATAGCACCCCAACTCTTCAGTACGAGCAAGGACATTATACAATGTCCTTGGTACGAGCAAGGAGGTTGGTACGAGCATAGAGTTAAAGATATATTTCTACCTCCATGGTACGAGTATGAAAATGTACGGCAATGTTTGCAGGTTGGCGTTGATAAATGCATGAAGGTCTAACATTTCACTGATTGGCGGAAACTCCACCAACAGGTCACAGGGGTCAATGCCCGGATGTGGGTCAGCTACCGGGCTTGAGACCCAGTTCCCATGGGAGACCTGGTAGTATTTGATCGCAATGCTGAGGGCTGTACCGTGTGGGTGGGTACGGGGGGTCACAGTGGGTAGGGGTTAATCTCCAAGCAGATCCTAGGGTGGCAAAAGACAGTATCAAATTGGCCAGGCAGTATCCATTGGCCATAGAGGGTCCAATTCGCCACCCAAGGATGTTGCCTGGTCAATTTGATACTGTCTTTGGCCACCGGCACCCTAGGATCTGCTTTGAGATTAGGTAGGGGTAGTCTTTAGCATGGTAGTTTATAGGGCAGTTAGTGTATACAAGCTTGTGGTAGATTTAATCTTAATCTTTATACACTGACGCTTACCATCTATCTAGTTACTGAGTCAGAGATAGTCCTCTCTCTAGATAATCAAATGTTACGATTTCTATACATGTGTATATAGTCACTAGTAGATTCTCAGACACACCTTCCCTAGCTTGGCCTAGCCTTTCCTTCTTTCCAAAAATACACCGACGATGTCAAACGGTTACGATATTCAGTTACCCGTGTAAAATCGATGTGAACACAGATCGCGTGCTACTGCAATGCTCGGTGTAAATATTACAGTGCCTGGATCCTTGGAGACTTGGATGGTTGAATGGCGAAGTCAAACACGGACTAAAGAACGTTTCAGCGCCTGTCCACACGTGGTCGGGATGTTACACACGAGTTGACATTCCCGCACACTGTTTGGTGGTCGCGTGGGAAATGTCACGTTACAACGGCTTACAATCACCGAACCAGAAGCATGGAAAGCCCAAACGCATGCACTTGGCCGTGAAAAAGCGCAGAGCCGTGTCACAGCGATGGTCAGGACTGGTAAACCATAGGTTACCATAGACTAAACATGGCTCAATTGGGGGATGGGACTAGCCAGTAATGCCCAAAAAACATGTCCAATCGGTACAATATGGCATTTAACAAACGTAGTACGATATGCATGTTCTCTGCATGTCAGACTCAGAGGAAGGCTTGTGAGATTCTTGTCAGAACTTAGCCTCTACCAGGCTTCAGAAGCGGCTGGAAAGAGCAGAATTAGCCATAACATGCCAGGGAAGCCCGGCAGCCCAGGAGTTTGAGAGGCAAGTTATCTTTCTATCTGAACGACTTCTATTCTTTCCAGTCGCATCTCAAGCCTGGCAGAGGCTATATACTAGTAGTCAGAACTACTAGGTATACACAGACGCAGGTTAGCGTGTGTATGAGAACATGTCACACACAGTGTCGTTCTGACCAGCAGACTGAGATAACATTGTCGTTCCCACCAGAATCCCGTCACATTCTCCGGGAATTTCAGGCGAGTGAATCTGACGTAAAGCTTGAAAGAAAACATTCTGGTTCTTGATGAATGGCGCTGGTTGTGTGTCATCGGGCATTCCCAGTGTCATTCCCAAGTCTGTTCTTTCGCTCTGTAAAAACACAAAATGCATACTAGTACCTCAGCACCTCCCCAAAGTCCAACTTCAATCTCACAAATCAGAAACGTATGTGTTAACCCATAAATAACTCCTCTCTGACTCTTCGTCGTTTGTAGAATTTTTCATGACAGAAAGCACCTGTTCCACTGTAGAACGAAAGTCGACAAATACGAACAGAATGGAATTGTAACCATAGGCATAGACAAGCCAATGTCAGACGCTCAACACGTTAGCTGTTTCATAACATGATCTAACGAGCTACAGTGCTTAAAAGTCCAAATTTACAGCAATAAACTCCCGCACCCTTGTTGTTATAATTGAAAGGCTCGGGGTCAAATTGTTGACCTGTTTCCGTGCCGGTATCTTGGCGGGAAAGCGTCCCGGGCGGGCCGGAGATATATAGGGAAGGACTATATTTGACGCCAAGAGAAACCCTCGCATGAATTTGTTAAACAAGCATAGCGATGTTGAATTTATGCGGGGCATGTGGTCAAACCACATTAGAACATGTCCCGCATGTGGTGGTTCAATCTACGGCGTGAGTTTGAAAGAGACGCGCGTATATAAAATGAGGATGAATTATCCTTTGGAGTGTGTTATTTCCCGATATAGGTACTTAAATAATTTCGCAGCCACATTGCTAAGATTTCTCCTGAATTCTTAAAGTGACCGGGGGATTTCAGCTTTGTTTTACTCAATCATCCCGGCTATCTTTGCTTGTCTGAACACATGACTAACATCTCGGCAGGATGCAGGGTTGTTGAGTGGCAGTATTTTCCAGGGGATATCCTTTTCGTCCTAAGTACCCAGTGAGAGATCTACACTTCACACAGCGCCGCAGCCCTGGATCAACTGTCGGAGTACCGAACGTATCGGGAGGGGCTTGAAACAGTTCTCGCTTCTCGTAGATTTCAAGATAGTTTCAACCCAGAGCTGTGAACGTTTGTTAGCTCAGCGCAGAAGCTCAGTCACGTGTCCACTTCGTCTTCCCGCCCAGCGTTTTTCAGCGGTTCAAAGCCAAAAATCGACCGTCGCTACTGTCTGTCGAGTCGAGTGGCTGCCTGGAGTACCTTGTTATGGTTGCCCTTTGTCCTGAGCCTCTTGAATTTGCATGGTGAAGAGGGTGCTTGTTTTCTCCTGGCCTAGCCGATGTAACTTCCTGTACAACCTGGCTCCCGTGTGTACGTCGAGGGACAGAACGTAGCCATGTGTGGAGGGAACACACCGGTACAACAACAGCTATCACTGACGCGGACCATGTACTGAGTGGTCTGTAGTGCTTCAACAAGGTTCGTTCTTACAAGTACTATTTTTGGTTGCCGAGTCGAACATGTGACGGCGGCGTCTACAGTACTACATGTACATACAGGATACGGCCATGGTCTGCCCAGCTCAACTGCTTGAAGGTAGCCGTCTCTCTTTGTCGTTTCTAGTTTCATTTGCCCACCTGTTAGGTGCTGCGATGTGTCGGAATGTCGGTTAACTGCCTGGGAAAGTCGAGCTGGCGCTGTTACAGTGTTACAGAATGCTTTCCGTCGTCAAGGCTTTAGGGCTGTGTTGATGTACATAAGATTTTATGAACGAGTCATGTCATACACTGGGCGTAGATGTGTCGCGTATATTTATTGCGTCGTAAATATCCTCTGACCCTGACCAACACTCAAGTTGGATGATTTAAAATTTTATGGTGGCACAAAAAACTCTCCCATCGTAAGGGTTTAAGCGTATTTCAATCACATAACACCCAGTTCATAATATCCTGCACATATCATATTTATATGAGCAGATTTGTATATCTCAGGTCAAGCGTCATCACACTCCGGCACTAGAAGTCAGGAAAACTGAAGTTTCCAGACCTGGTCCCGTGCAACACGACATGTTTTCTGATTCTGTATCGATTGTCCCCTCTGGTGACACTTGAGTCTCAGGCCGTATCTCCCTGCCGGGATATCGACCGGAATACTGGAAGGCTTCGGGTCCGTATGATAGGATGCGATGGTTGGTCAGGGTAAATTTGATCAACGTGCTTTCAGCTAGACTCTACCAGACCCTACTGAACCTGTATTAATCGTGCACACACGTTAATGGTATGATGAAGGTCAGTGAGCTTTTACTAGGCAGAGGACCCATCGGGTCAAAAAGGCATCGCCGTTCTACACCATTTTATTCAGTATAGGAGCGCTTGAATACGCTTAACATCTTTGGGGTGTGCATGCTGCATATTACATACAAGGAAAATATACATGTCTTATGCGCTGTATGCGACAGGTTCGGGTCGTCACTATTAAGTCATCCATCAGGCACGTCTTTGTGTTCAGGTTTAACATGAGAAATCCGTGAACACTGTGGTTTGTACATGTGGGAGCACGGTGACCTCAGGCTGGGGAGAAGGGGGGTCTGGTAGAGCGATCAGATACTGTGTTTGTACAATATCTGGGCACACTTCCAAACATTCTTTTCTATTTCACTACTGCCTCCACGGGGTGGGTGTACTAAAGTCATCTCAGCTGCTTCACGTATTGAAACAGTCATACTTTCAAAAATCAGAGCTACTCGTAACAACCAAGGGGGGTTAAAACTCGTATTTTCCAAGAACTATCGTACAGTGGAACTCGTTACCACCAGACTAGACACGACTGGGCATCATCCCTAAAAAGCATTCAAATCTCCTGCAATGAAATGAGCAAAGACTGACTGTAACAAGTCGTTCGGTATGATATAGCTAGCTGCCGCCGCGCCGCGTGCCTGTGAAGCTGGTGTGTTACGCCAAAGGGCAGTCATACCGGCTATACTGATACGGATACGTATTGATCTGACTGGGGGAAAATGCCTCAAGACATCATCATACCGACACCCTTTCATTCATATCATGTGAACCCTCCCCGGTACACCAACCATAGGTTGTCAACTCAGACACGCGCGCAGTACTAATAGGGTACATATATTGCCTGATGATGTTGTTTTTGGTACACGGAGGTGCAACATTGCGACTGTACCTTCTTGTTACAGACCGATGGAGTCTACATTGACGTATAACAGGGAACTGTGATCTACCGAGACATCGAAAAAGGTAATCTCCCCACTATTATATAACGTTAGATAACACGCAATCTATTATGGATTATGGTACCAAAGTCAATCAGATACAGTCTTCTATCTTGGTGATTAGCGTCTTACGATGATGGATAATGTCATATACTAGTAATCTATCAACTGAAGGTCTCATCTCCATATACGATTCGTGTTTGGAATATGGAATTGTTATACAGCATGATAGTCACAACAATCACATGTACGTCTGTGCATCTTATCATTTGTAACGTCCAGCTCCAACTCCTTGCACCTGTACACATATGTGCCTTGTATAGAGGACGTAACACATACGTATTCTTGTAGGATACTGCGTGTATGAGAAAATGTTTCAGAAGGACATTTTAAAGGTTCTAAATGTCCCTTTTCAAATTGTATACATCAACATACCACCAGACATGTTATGAGCGCTTATCGGGTCCATTTTGCTACTGCCTTTGGCGAGGAATTAACGAGTGCCTGTCTCAACGTGATGTTGGCTGGCACGATCAAAGCTGGCATGTCAACACCGTGGCCTGGACAGCATCACAGCGGTGCTAGAGTCGGCGTATCTAAGGACATATCACTGAAATATTGGAATCTGCCAGGGCCGTACGTGGGAACTCGGTATAACAGAATATCGCATGGAATAAGCAGAGGTTTGGGTTATTTTTGGCGTGTTTTTAGACTTTTTTATCTGGATTTCTTTCTTGCACTGGAATTTTTTTCACCCAACCCAAAATTCCAGTTTAAAAAGAAACCCTGATAAAAAGCCTAAAAACATGCCAAAAATAACCCAAGACCCAAACCTCTGCTTGGAGAATAGTTCAATTCGTGTAGTGGCGCCGTACTGTCCCTTTGGTATAACTTGCAGTTGTGTCTCATGCAGTCTATTACATTATATGTACCAGGGGGTTCTTATTACAAGTTTATGAACATTCCGATGGAATTCATTTCATTTCCGTCGATATTTCCTGTCTGACTCAAGCGGGTGTTTCTCCCCAGTGCTCATGTTGTTGTTTTCATGTCACACCTCTTTAATCACATCGTATATTTACTTAAGTCCTCTTAAGAAGAGCCTCGATTGCCTACCTCTACTCAGAAAAGGCTCACGCCCGTCATAAAATAGTAACATCATTTCTGTCTCCTAAAAACGCAGCAACCGTCTACTCGCCACGAAATGTGTTTGAATTCAAAAAGAAAACAGTGTGAAGTAGGGTTATTTTTCAACTATTCAAGTTGCTATTGAATGCAATTAACGTTCATCTGAAAGTATTTTTTCAAATAATGTTTATTGATATTTTAAAAACAGAGGACATTTATCTGAAAGTTATCAATTACATTTACCCTACCTACACACTTGGCGTTTCTCAACTGCCAGGTTAACTCAATGAGCAACATTCTTGTCTCTGTCCCAACTTTCCTTGTCTGTAGCTCGATGGATTTACATTCTTCAGGTTCGGAAGGGTCCAATCTGACTAATATATCGTTGAAAGCTTGTCGGAAACATCCTCTGGATTGGATTAGAGAATCGTGACCACGGTCACCCCTGTCTTCGCTAATCCGCTCCCAATGGCAAGGTGCTACTCCTCACCAGGGTAACGTGTGGCTTAAGTGACGTTGATTGAAAAAGATTGACAAACAAGACGAGGATTTGTTTTATCACACCTGTGGTTCAATTACTTTCGGCGGAAAGGTCTGCATACTGCAAGGCCAGAGGTGCCTTGTCACGACACTAAGGACAAACAGTTTAACTCCAGGGTCAGGAGAGTGTGAAAGACTCCTGGAGAAAATTTAAAACTGATTCGAGGTGGTCTGAAGTCAATGGAGGTAAATCTTGGTAATTTAAACCCCCTTGCGCCGTAACTTGGAAGAGCGAGAACTATGATACAGGGATAAACTAGTGTCTACAGGATCGCTAAGGACGTATTTCCTTTATTCCCGCCCATGCATAGCATATCCCAGGCTTCACAAGCGGCTGTCCATTTGCCCAATTTCTACCCTTTCTAGCCGCTTCTGAAGCCTGGTAGAGGCTAGGATTACCACACAAACTACATGTGTCCGCCATGACCATCCCTTCGCATGTCTTTCCAGGCTATGTACTTTATAATACAGACATTGTAACGTGGTATTTCTTCTCACACGTCACTGTTCATGTCCCACAGCCCTCCCCTGACATGCCTGACGCCCGTGTCCTTGCGGTACCCATGGGTGAAGAAGAGTCGTGGTGGTCATGATGTTCACCTGGGAAACTTTGCCTCAAACATGCAGGTACGTGAGTTATGGTACATGTGATGTGGTGTTTAAAATCCAATTAAAGCTGGTGTGCACATTAACTTTTGTATTGTATAGGTGTAAAGAAATAATTGAGTAGGCTCAGTGATTTGTTGAAGCAGTAACTTTGAGTAACACTGGAGAAAATTGTGGGGCGGACTACACTTTATCCGAACGGTATCCAAGTGTGATAACGTGAGGATGGGAGAGGTTGAGGCACGTCAGTCTTAATGTTGTTCTTTGTACATATAGGAGGGCAACATGTAAAGGGGCGTACCTGTTTTGTCCTCCCTTTCACATTGTGAGAATCCAAAATAGACAAAGAAACAAACAATCCAGCGAGTGACCACCTCTACTATAGTTCTCGTCCTGTTGAAGCTTGCCAAGGAGCTTGGCAACAATGATATGAAGCTCCTTGAGCTTGCATACCGGTCCATTCACTCAGACGGAGGGACATACAGTCTCTGTGACAAGGCTTGAAGTCGTGTCCTCAGACTCGCTTCCTTTCCATCTGTCTCCTTCTCTTGCTGAAGGATTCGCCGCGATAGTCCCCTTAAGTGTTTTCTGATTGATATCCCACGGGGCTAAAGACGTGAACTTAGCTCAAAGGTCATCGGGAAGTTCTTGAGCAAATATAGATATCCCAGTGAAGGTCACCAAAGGTCACCAGCTGCAGTATACCTATAATCTCCAAGCAGATGTTGGGGTGGAAAATCGCAACGTATTCTGACAGACAGATAGGTCGGCTTTTTTTGGTAGTCAAAATAAGAACTGAAGAACGTTAACGATTTTCCATCTCAGCATCTGCTTGGGGATCAGTGAACCTACGACGTAAAAAAACAATGCTTAAAAGATTTTTTAAAAAAGCCTAAAAACACACTAAAAGTAAGCCAAAACCCAAATCTCTGCTTGGAGAGTATAATATATATATATATATACAGTGAACCTTGTTTTGTACTTTTTTTCCACTGACGGGTAACATGACAACAGCCGATGTAGATCTACTCAGCGGCAGTGAAATCTCCTGACAATGGGCACATCGGCCGCCCCAAGCTCTTGGCCCCTGATTACATGTTTGGTGAAAACGTCTGATTGAAGATATACGGGCCGTAAGGGGAAAACTGTCATTTTCTCAGCCAGTCTGCACCGGTACAATTATTCTGGGTCTTACTCACAGTACACCAGACTGACTGACATCAGTAGGATTCTCCCTCGTCTGCCAACTTATGCCGCCCCTTATTTGTTTCCGTCGGCATAAAACGAGCCCTTCTTTCCAGAGGTCGGAGCAGAATTATTTCTATGAACAGAGCCAGTTGCCGGGAGCGGGACAACACAACAGACAAGCATCCAGCAGTCCAGAATCTACAATTCAAATGAAGTTCGGTAACAATGGCCCCCGCTTGAGCCCCGCTAGCGTCTCTCCCTCTCAGACGAATTTGTCTTTCCGCGCACGATGCTCCAGCGGACAAAAAAACGCTTCTTCCCCGTCCGCTACAATTAGAGGAATGGCTCGGTACCGTGTCCAGGGTTGTCGTTGGTTAACCTGAGGACGGCCATCTGAAAGGTAACGACCATCACGCCAGTATTATTCATAGTGTACTGTTTTTATCTGTAAGCTTGCCACGCGCCCTCTCCTCATTAAGACACGTCTTTTGTGTTATAATAGCGAATTGTACAATTGCCTGATTCCCCATTTCCTCTCATTCCGTAGATGATGACTACTTAAGAATCTATTAAGCCAATGATGTATCAGGATGATCAATGAAGGAGTGAATGAGGATTATAAAGTCTTGGTGATGCAAATGTATATTCATGTACGTATGCGTGCGTGTTATGTGAACAATTCCGTAGAAGCTCTAATGATGTTCTACATTCACATGTGTTAAGGCAGGAGATTAAGATAGTATCAAGATTCTTAGTCTAAAATAGTCTATAATAGGCAAAAAGCCTTTTTTTGTGCAAAATTCCTTCCTCGGACCTATTGTATTTGTAACAGCCTAGAATATGTAAGGTACATGGCGAAAGGGGGAGGGGGGCGACTGTGTTTTCTTGCAGAATTTCGACGTGAAAGATATGAAGATACGAGTGCAATCACGGTTTGTTAGTTCTTTTTATCAGACACCATATTTATTTATTTCGGGCAAGCAAGAGTATGATCAAGTTTCGACGTTGATATCAATTATCAGACAATCCCATGCTGATTCGGCAATAGGGATGTCATTCATAATAATGCTGTTTTTATATTTGTACATTTACTGTGATAACCTAGATGCATTTTTGGTAAACTCGCGGCATTTTCTTTTAACGTTTTGTTAAAGCGTTGAGATTGAATGTTAAAGCCATGTTTCGTCCTTAACCAGTCCGTTCCTCACAGCTGTACGGCTGTATTTGGTCCATTGTGTCCCGGTCTTTTGTCCCGCCTCCTCCGCGACCCCGGGCGTGACTCCACCGCCAAACGTTTGAAAACGTTTTAGACAAGTTCAAGTTAAGTCCTGAGAGACATGCTCTCTGCAAATGTGAAGAAACGTAAGGATGCAAACATGTGTAGACCAGATTTCCTCCTATACCGCTATACCATTACTACTATTACATCCCAGTATAGTTTAACCTCTTTTATTTTCCCACGATGGATGGAGAAGTATGCAGTCGCACCATAATTACCGCTGGCTATTCTTGCACTGACGGGGAATCTGGTCTGTCATCACAGCTTTCACCTTATCTTACCAACTGAGCTCCAAACCAGTCCCTGATAAAGCATGTAATTCATCCCTGCTTGCCTCCATCAATGATATGATACCCAGTGATTAGATAAGAGTTAATGTTTCGCCTCAATACTAGCCCGAGACCTCATCATACTAGTACTTGTCGCCTTCTACAAGACAGCGGGTTTGACATGGCCTAAAGAGAACGGATGGATGGATGGATGGAGGAAAGGATGGATGGATGGATGGATGGAGGAAAGGATGGATGGATGGATGGAGGAAAGGATGGATGGATGGATGGATGGAGGAAAGGATGGATGGATGGATTTATGAATGGATGGATGGATGGATGGTTAGAGGGATGGATGGATGGATGGATGGATGGATAGATAGATAGAGGAATGGATGGATAGATGGATGGATGGATGGATGGATGGACGGATGGATGGATGGATGGATGGATGGATGGATCGATGGATGGATAGATGGATGGATGGATGGATGGATGGATGGATGGATGGATGGATGGATGGATGGATGGATGGAAAAAACAACTTTCAAACCGTTAAACGTCTCAATGGAAAGCTAAGAACAAATGGGTCTCCAGAATAAGATTAGGTGGAAGGAGAAATACGTTTACTATTTTTCGTACTGGTAGTCGTCTGCCTGATTAAATGTTCGAGCCGAAATAAACGCGTAGTGTTACAGACTATCCCCTCGGGGCTAAACCTCCGCTGTTTGCTTCACCTTTGCCTTTTCCTTCATCTCTAGTACCGGGGACATCTCCCGTCACATCTTATGTGTGATGGGATTTCAGACAGCAGCAGCTATTGAAGTCTGGAGAATCGCGAAGACTTCAATCAAGATTTCATTTTCGCTTGCGAACGTCCAATTACGCATCTCCCTGTGATCCCTGCCCGCTTTCATTCCCGCCTCATTTTCTGTTGTCTGACATCAAGTAGCGCGCATCACCGCCGGCCGCCTCTCACCACTCACAGAGGCTGATTTCCCAACCGGGAGACCCGCTCTGTAAACAGTCGTGATTCGTGTGGTACCCGGGGTGTTGCTCTTGGAGCGCTGACAATCTGCTGTGTTTGATACTCCTCGCCTCCACGTTGTTTGCTTTTAACGCGTATACAGATTGTATCTACGGCGATGCTTCAATATTTTCATCCCTCTGTTTGTTGATGTTTCTATGCATTATTTGATGGTTATCATATTTAGCAATGAGTATATAGTATACCGCTTCTGCCAGGCTCACTGAGATATTTTGTGACCAGTGTGCTCATCCAGGCTACTGCTGACCAGCGTAATATTTATACTTTTACAGATTGTATCTACGGCGATGCTTCAATATTTTCATCCCTCTGTTTGTTGATGTTTCTATGCATTATTTGATCGTTATCATTTTTAGCAATGCGGATATATATGCCTTTCCTGACCTGCGTAATATTTCTTGTTCCTCTACCACAGGCTGGTCCGCTGTGCGTGTCGGCCATGGGTGCAATATGGCGGCGGGCGGGACAAACGTCGTTTGGCAGTTCCTATGGCAACTATTTCTACTTCATCACGTCATTGATTTTCGCACAAGGTGAGGGTCAAGGGCTCCTTGGGTGAGGATTGCGGGGGAAGAAGTAGACCGTTGTGTTAACAAGGGCCGGCAAAAACAAGTTTTCAAGGATCACTACAACGTTCATGCCCAAAATATGTGTTGTAGTAATCTCCAAGCAGATCCTAGGGTGGTAAAAGACAGTATCAAATTGGTCAGGTAGTATCTAGAGAGCAGGGAGCAACCCAAGGCGTATTGGACCCTCTCTGGCCATTTGATACTGTCTCTTGCCACCCTAAGATCTGCTTGGAGATTAATGTTGTAGTAGACAGTGGTAAAGGCATTAGCGTGAAGTACAAAGAAACGGTTACGACGTACGTTTTGCCATGGATCTACGTTTCAGCATTACATTCTTGTTCTTGCTTCTCATAATCAATATCATCTTGATGCAACATTTTGCACCATGTTTCTGTTTTCTTGTATGTATATCCGGTATGCAAACGCCACTACCGGTGGACTAGCCCCTAACTGTACATAGTGATTGCACAACTGTGTGGCCCAAGGACGACGAAACGGAGATGGGCGCTGCCATATGCGACCATATTTATGGTTGCGGTAGGGCTTTAACTTAACATAATATCCGTTATGATTTTCACCAACATGTAGTCCATCTCTCTGCCCTAGTCACGTCTGAATACCGCTTCACCGTCCTGGCTCCGGACACGCACGTTGCCATGTCAACGGAGGTGGACGTGGAATATTCCATTCCAACTCAAGCCGAACTTGAGAATGCAGTAATAGAGGTGACGTACAGTGCCTAGTTTGTATATCTGAGCATTTAGATCGATATTTCATAGTGAAATAGCCTGTATAAGTGATGTGGTTCACGCTTCGGCTTTACCTGACTCATGGCCGATAACACATTGAGCATCATTTTGCTGTAGAATTTTAGTCTGTACAACAACCTGAGAGATAGTTGGACTTTATAGCCTGAGTTGTAATTACTGGTTAAAGAAATAAATTGAAATTGAAATAGACGATGCAATCAACATGTCCTAGGTAGAAGAAGTCGAATTCAAATTACCAGACTCTCTCTGCCAGTCAGTCGCAAAAGACGACATTTAGACTTTTAGAGTACTTACTAGACGACAGTATTACTAGTTTCTCTTGAGTATACATGTATCTGTAAACTATTCTTTTGTTTCGACCTATACCTAACCCAGCGGCATGTATGTATGAAAGTCTTCATTACTTCTTTGTTCTCCGTCGACGTCCGCAGGTTTACGACATTCTGAACTCCAGTGTTGCCAGGGTCGCCCCGGTGCCTGTCGGAATACACGACGGCCACATGAACTTCAGCTGCGCGATCTTCGACCACGCCGGCGGGTTCCTCTTCAAACTCCTCCTGGAGGAGGGAGGGCCCATCCTGGTGGAGAGCGGCGCCATGGACGTCGTGTGGCAGGACTTTTACATCTCCGTCCCGACTTCTCACGAGGCCATGACGGGAGAGGTGCAGGTGGGGGTTAGGACGGAGGGGGAGGTGTGCAGCGCGCGTCCCAGGAGATTCCGCACCCATTTTGTTGTGAAATACTTAGGCACAAACGATACAGTGGATCAGAGTATCAAACCTTCGATTGTTGCGACACAAACATTGGATTTACTATCGCAGGAAACGCACGTAACCGTCAGCTGCGAATCTTTAGACCAAGCCGGGCTGTACAGAGTGGAGCTCAGGTCGGAGTTTAACGACTCGTTGATCGCCTCCAGTCAGGATTTCCCGGTGAAGTGGAGTGAAAACTACGCGCTGAGCACCGAACAGTTGGCGATCTTCCCCTGCCAGTACGTCGTGGACGTCTCGTTCTACACACCTGCCTGTCACGGGCATGACAGGGTGCGTCTGTACCGCCAGGGGGCGGGGCTGGCGGGGCAGGCCTCCGATCAGCTGGAGTACGTCACGGAACAGCGGATCAGACCGGGGAAGACGTTTGTCCAGTTCACCTGCAGCGAGTTCGACCCGAGCTTCCCGGTCTACTGCTTCAAGTACGTCAGTATCGCCAGGAGGGGGGCCGTCACCGAGCAGGCAACCTTATGTCTACCTTCTCAGTACTCCGGTAAGGAAATCTTTCTTTTTAGACTGTAACACTTTGTTCTATCGCTTGTTATGGAGTAAAAATTACATCTTTAAAAGTATAGTTGGTAGGTTTTCAAACCACTGTAGACCAGTAATTTCCAAGCAAATGTTTGGAGATGAACTCATGTATTTTTCCACTGTTTTGTGACTAGACATAACGCAATACTCGCTTCCCAAATGACATCGAGTAGGATACTTTCCTGTCATGGTTACGAAAACCCTTGCACAAAATGCGTCATTTGAAGACAAACCGTATTACTGCTCTACCTGCGTACACGGGGGTATGGGTATGTGAGGAATGATGTCGTAATAGCCCCTTTCAAGAGCCGTAATCTCCTTATTTACACTCTAATGTGTCTGTCAACCCCCTGCATAAAGCCACCTCTTGGACAGATATTGAATTTGTTCTCCCTTAAGCCTGGCTTAGGCCGTAATGAGTCCGCCTCATACAAGCCTTTAACCTAATCATGCGCTACAAAACTCTGCAAAATTAGTCACAACAGACCTTCTATGGATGTTACGTTAACGTCATAACATGCCTTTTCACCCAAGGACCGTACGTATCCGGGAATTCGGGACCGTATGTATTCAGAAATCCGAATGATAGGCCGGGTTTCGAACCCCTCGCCCTGTTGTCCAAGGACGGGATAGCATACTCTCCAAGCAGAGGTTTGGGTTTTGGCTTATTTTTGGCGTGTTTAAAGGCATTGGTGCGTGCGACTGCCGGCAGAGGTTGGGTTGGCGTAAAAAAAATTCAGTGCAAAAAAGAAACTCCGATAAAAAAGCCTTAAAAAAACACCCAAAAAATAAGCCAAACACAAACCTCTGCTTGGAAGTAGGGATAGCTAGCCTCCGTAGCAGGCTTATAGAACTGGGGGTTTGGTGGTCTTTGGGTGTTTTCTGATTAGCCCAGTGGGTATTTCAACCAGGCCGGCTTTGTTGTCTATATGCAATCAGAAAATAGCACATAAAAGATCCCAAAGACCCTGAAGACCCCCCTAAACCCCCCAGTTTTGGCATGCTATAGTATGGAGGCTAGGGATAGCAAACCCGACAGAACGCTGCCATGGCGAAATTGGACGCCCCGTGGGTGGGAGGGGGGAGTTGTGCCCTCAGGATTACCGTAATCCGCCCAGTGTCATGGACGATTAGGAGGAGACCCCAGGATTGGTCTGTGGCACTGCACGGTTTAAACCACCGACTAACGTACTGATGTAACCAGGATTTGGGTAAAGCAGGACACGATGGGAGGGAATGGGTGCTCAGGTGGTCTTAGTACCAAGCAAGGACATTATACCAAGGTCCTTGTTCCAAGAGAGGTCGTATCAGTAGTATTGTAAAGGGTATTGACATTGTACAAACCCAGTACAACTCTTAACGAAAGGTTACCCTCCCATCTTGGTATGGTCATTCACTGGACTAATACTAATAGATCAGACCACACAATTACGGTCTATGCTCGGGAGTGGACAACAGTGATTACCTGTGCTGATAAGATACCCTCAGGTCATGACTAGCGCTATAGCCGAGGGTGTCAAGGGGTACCACAGCGTCATTTTGTAAAGTAACTATAGCATGAACACTCTGCCTATGCCCCCATAAACATTCTTGATAATTACTACGTAGAAAACCTTTCTGTATATAGATTGATTTGAAACCAAAAGATATAACTGTTTGATTCTGGGCAGTAGTCTGAGAACCCCTATGATAGCCTCCTGGCATCACCTACGCAAACTTTTCCAAACCGTGACTGACGGTTGTTGAAATGCACGTGTGCGTCAGACCGTCCTTCTGTCTGCCTTCCCCGATGATCTGTTACCAGATATATACCAGTAGCGTCTTAGGGGTGAATCTCTGTGGGCGGGCAAGCACACATATACAGGTACAGTTATATTACTCTAGAATTCTTAGAACACCCACGATTTCATCGAAGTGTTTACATAAATGAATGCGAATAAATGAAATGACATGCGTTAGACATGTTCTGAAGGAGTTTTATGCCGTCGATTAGGGCGACAATAACTATGTTCGTGATATATATGTATATGCATTGTTTGTCATTGATCATTCAACATGACCATGACTTAACAATTCGTGCTTTGCTTCTTAGTGAAATCTGTGTAAGGTCTTGTTGCTGTATGGGTAGTAAGTTTGACAGAAACACACAACTACATGGTGATTACTGCCTTGTTTGATACAATCAAAATATCGGGTTGTCCTTACACTGTTTACCCCACATCAGGTTGACGAACGGCTGTGGGAATTGTTGAGAGATAACAGTATATTTCCCCGCGTTACTTAACAGTTTTCTGTTCAGCTGTTCCGACAGTGCCTGGATATTACAGGGGGCGACATATTTCACTCCCGTATCAGTGCTTCAGATCGCTCCGCTGTTGAATGACTAGATTCTTTTGCCCCGAGGAAAAATGGGACGAGAGCAGAGTTCAAATAGGTATTTACGAGCAATTCCGTGCCTGCATAGCTTTGCCTGTCTATCTTAAACCTTAACGACCGAGCAGCCGTCGCCAAGAACAACACAACTGTGAACTTGAGGTTCGTGTTTGTACCGCATCTGCATTCTATGGTACTGAAACCATTTGTCATCATTAGCCCTTCACAACAGAACGGCCTTCTCGGCCAGAACCAGAAGAAGGAAGCCTCAATGGCGCCCATTAATACCATCTGATAAACATCTCATCTCACATTCACCAGAGAGCAGGTCTAGCCCTACAGCGGTATATCATAGGTGTCGGAGGACAAAGACTTCGCTGTATCAACCGTGCAACAGGTGAGCTGGAATAAATAAGGGTTCTTGAGTTCATCTTGTTTTTCACCAACGCATGGGACGGAATAGATAATGCACAGACAGTGGGACAGGAGAAGTGATAGTTTCTGGTCTTGTGACTCTTGTTGTAGATGGTGGGGTATCGTCCTTGCAACCTCTCCTCAGTCTCACAGACCTTTTCACAGAACAATTTCAATCGCGCTTTTGAAGGTAGAAATATTTGAAATATTAGTAACTGGTCTGAAATCTTAAGAAATTTCTTCAACTCTGCACCAATGTCGGTCCTATAGGAATGTCATTGAAAAATAAAATGACAATGAAAGTCAATGACGTTATCAGAATACTTAATAGAATGACATGAATATCTATATATTCTTAATATTGTTTTCCTAAATTTTCAACAATAGAGTCTCTCCTTTTGTCATTTTCAACGTCGTACTTAAGGGGGACTTCTGCTGATCCACGCACGTTTCCCTTTTAATCCCATCTTTCTGCTCTTACTGTGTTTCCGCTGTATCCAGTGACTGTTGAATAAGTGTGTGTACAGGAGTACGAAAAAGCCACTTCCTCTAAGGGCGTTATCCTCAATTTGTCTTGGTAAGTCGGTGGTTCTGTAAGCCGATCTTGTCAGATTAGGCTGGGGAGGGCCTGTACTAATACAATTAGGGCAGGCGTAACAAGCCCTTCGTCATTCGCCCATTGTTAACCTGGAGACAAGCACAGAAACACTTCCCGTTTTAGAAATGGCGCCAGTCGTGAGGTGTCGAAAATTAGGAGTGCTAAATGCTAATCACAGGCAGTCTGAGATCGCAAAATGTTTACGTCAGAAAGGTTTTCATACAGCTAGATTGGACATGCTCTAGCAGTCGAAATAAGGCATACAGCCACGGTAACTGTCATAATATTTACTGGCATCAAGAGTGACCCAAGACTGTCCTTTATGTAATGTCCGCAAGACGTCGCTTCTTGGAAATGTGGCGTTCCCCGCCATCACTTTCGTGAAGTGTCAGAATCTGTCGTTCCTGTACTTCAATGTGATGTGTGTGATTGTGAAGTTAGATAGACCGTCGGTCGTCCTAACGAAGTTGAGGTTTGTTCAATAGTTTTATAAACTCATTTCTTACAATGGGCCAAGCTTATTTGATTCGGCATGCATGACGAAATTCAACCAACCTCTTTGCAAAGTTTTGGGACCGTGAAAATTGCTTCAAGTTGAAGGTAAAGTCAGAGGCAGGAGCCTATTATACTAAAAATAGACCTAATCTACAGGTTGGACCCGTCTTTCCCAGAGTAAATGAGTTTACCCATGCGATATCAACCCAGCACAAGTTCACATGCATATCGTTCCCGTGTAGACAGCTACAGAACAGACACACCAGCTTCAGCCCACTCCACATGAATGTGGCTCACCGATAATGACTGTTTCCCTCCATAAGGCAGGCGGTGGAGGACAGCACACATCTGAGCTATGCCACTCCAAATTTTTGCACGATGGCCGATAGGGACGTAATGAAATGTAAATTTGGTTAACGACCTAGTCAGCACAAACATTCCGACTCGCACAGTTAATCAGGCAGGCGTGGTGACAACACCAGCAGGATTTGTTCCCCAAGTCGTCGGGCGGCACTTTCAATTCTAAGGCAGGGATTTTATCCTTTCTACCCTAAACCTCTCACAGACGCGTTCCGTTTGGGACACAAAGCCCTTGGATGTGATATTGGAGGGAAAGGTGGACACCTAGCTCTCGAAAACTGCGGGAACAACACAGGTAGGTGCTTTATACAACAGGAAATACCAGTCAGGCACTCCTTTAGAACATTCACTCAGGTAGAAACAATGTAACATTATGGGAGGGTGGGGTGTGCTAGACTTTCACCCAGCTTATACTTGTTGAGATGGGAGTTGGGGTAAAACTATATGACTCTGAAAACCATGAATTCTGCTAAGGAATAGTCTCTGCTTGGGTCCTTTCCACCGGACGTAAGGAGTGCCCACCTGTGTAAGGTGAGGTAAGGAGTTGCTTCCGGCTTCTTTCAGACAACGTTAACTTCTCGCAGGAGGGTTACCTACTCGTACGTGCGTTACGCACGGAGTGGCACAGAGAATGGTCGGAGACTACGGCTTGTTGTGGGTCTGGCGTAATCTGTTTGCCTTGAGTCCGTGTCCAGTTAGCCTCCTTTGCAGACTTGTGATCT